AAAATTTTATAAAATGAGTACTTTAGTGACTTCTTATAATTATAATTTCTTATTCTCCTCTAATGAATATATTTGGAGATAATAATAATAATTTCGGATATAGATATATTGTGTATTTTATACAGTAGTGTACTTAAAATTAAATGTGTTTATAATTTACAAAGGTTAGGCTCTAGTTTTGTGGAGGGCTCTTGCTGTCTTCATTTTGACGTTGTCCTGGCTCCCCCTTTGGTCTGTCGCTGGACTTCGGTGTATCCGGGTTGTCCTTCCGTTTTAAGAGATTCTGTTTGTCGTCACGCGTCTGCGGATATTTATGTTATGTTTAAAAAATTGAGACGAACGCATTCGACCTCATTGTAAATGAGTGGCGGTTGCAAGGTTAGGTTAGATTGTGACCGCCCGAGCGTAAAATAACGTTGTTAGTTCTTACTACTTGTAGATTATTTAGTTGAGAATACGGTCGCCACTTCGTTTGACCTCCAACGAAGAAGGAAAGCCGTCCCGTCCCCAGCGGTGGATGTCCTCTGCGTCGTTGCGTCTCGGATCCTCTCTCACCCTGTAAGAACTTTGGCTGGGATTTCCGCAATAATTCAGTTCACTCACACGATTTATAATAATGTAATTTAATGAATAAATGAATAATACATAGGTTTCGCGCACTCGGAACACGAGAAAAAGTGACGCAACTTTCCGATCGCTATTTTGAATAAAATAAAATAAATCGAGGAAAAATGTTTATCTGAGGGACTTATATGATTAATAAACTATTAAATAAACGTGTTACGCGCGTCCGCGGAGTCCTCTGAATGATATTACATCAAGATGATGCAAGAGCGCGACGACACACGCGCGGGCACGTCCTTCCCGTTCGGACGCCCAAGAGCGACTGATGGCTTCGCCGTCCGTCTCGAACGGGTCGGCCACTTTGGCATCTTCATCCCCTCCATTCGTACCTCCGACCAATCACAAAAGTCGTCCTTGACGAGGTCGGATCGCCTTGCTCTTCGAGAGAAAGGGACTCAGTGCCACACTTATTCAGAATCTCCTTTTTATTTTTATTAGAAAATTCTATTTTTATGATTATTTCGAGTTTTTCTCGATCAGCTGTTCGAGCTGTGCTATATATATACAGGGTGTTTCCAAATTAAATGGCAAAACTTCGGGAGCGTGTAGAGGAGTAAAAAACTAAGAAAAAAAGTCCTAT